GTACTTGATCTCGAACTCTCCAAGCTCTACAGCCCATTTGGCGACCCTTCTGGAAATATCGACCCTGTGAAGGGTTGGCTTGAGAGGCCGATCTGTCATAACTTCTATGGAGTGAGCCTGGAAATAATGCCGAAGCTTCCTCGTCGAGACTACCAATCTCAAAACTGATTTCTCCATTGGAGAGTACCTTGTCTCGGCGTCGAGCAAAGTCTTGCTCACAAAGTATACGGGCCTTTGGGCTCCTTCGCTTTCTCTGACCAGTGCTCCACTTACGGCTTCTTGAGATACTGACAAGTAAAGGCTAAGTACCTTTCCAGCCACCGGTACGGATAAGGTTAGAGGGTGTTTCAAGTACTCCTTGATTCCCTCAAGGGCATGTCCACATTCCTCATCCCATACTCCTTTAGCTGCCCCCTTCAACTTGGTAAAAAATAGTCTGCACTTATCAGAAGACTTGGAAATAAATTGGTTAAGGGCTGCCAACATCCCAGTCAATTTCTAAATATCCTAAATGGTCCTAGGCGCCCGGACGTTTTGGATCGCTTGTATCTTCTCAGGGTTTGTCTCGATACCCCTGTGAGTAACTAAATACCCCAAAAACTTTTTCGAGCTCATCCCAAAAGCGCATTTCGAGACATTCAGCTTCAGGCCATACTTTCGGAGGATGGCGAACGTCATCCCAAGATCATAGAGATGGTCGACGCTCTCTTTGCTCTTGACCAACATATCGTCAATGTACACCTTCATAGTTTCGTCGAGCTGCTCTTTGAAGATTTTATTCATCAAACGTTGATAGCCCGCTCCTGCATTCTTCAACCCAAAAGGCATCACTGTGTAACAGTAGATCCCCCGGGGTGTAATGAACGTCGTTTTCTCTTGATCCGATTCATGTAAGGGAATCTGGTGATATCCTGCCCGAGCATCCATAAAGGTGATTTGCATGTGACTGACTGTTGCATCTACCAGCTGATCAACCTTAGACAATGGGTACTCGTCCTTGGGGCAAGCCTTGTTCAGGTCCGTGAAATCCACTCAAACTCGTCATTTCCCCTCTTTCTTCTTGGCGCACACGGTGTTAGATAACCACTGAGGAAATTGTACCTCCTTGATGGAACCTGTCCCCAACAACTTATCAATCTCTTCATCTACAGCCTTCACATGATGAGGCGCCGTTCTTCGGGCCTTCTGCCTAACGGGTTTGAACAAGGGGTCCACATGGAGCCGATGAGTCATCACCTCCGTGCTTATCCCTGTCATCTCGGCCTAGGTCCATGCAAAGACATCGGCATTTTGACATAGGAATGAGGCCATATCATTTTTCTCTGCGTTGCTAAGTAACTTCCCTATAAAAAAGTACTTCTTTATCATTATCTAGGCTCAGGAGGATCTTGACCAGGGCCTCAGTAGACCGTTCGGCTGGCTCTATAATGGGCTCATCCACTCCCGGACGACCGTTCTGTGATTGTTATTTGGCAACCATAGCTTTGACATCCCGTTTCTGCTTCGGCCGCTAACTCTAGTCTTCACCGCGGCATAGAATCAGCGTTTGGCCGATGTCTGATCACCCTGAATTTCCATTATGCCCCTGCGGTGTTGGGAACTTCATCTTCTGGTGATAGGACGAGTGGACCACTTTCATTGCATGCAACCATGACCTTCCCATAATGGCATTGTAGGGGGAGTCAGAGTCTACTACCACAAACTCCACTGGGGTGGTCACTATTCCCGCACGTACCATGAGGGTGATCTTACCAAGAGGGAGGGTGCTGGAACCATTAAAGCCAATGAGAGGGGTCTTCATGGGTTCCAGATCCCCTTGTGAGAATCCCATTTTGCAGAAGAGATGATCATACATCACCTCGGAAAAAATTGCCCGAGTCTACCAAGATCCTTTTGACATCAAATTTTTTGACACGCAAAGTGATCATCAATGCATCCTCATGAGGAAGGACTACTCCGCCGAGGTAAGCATCAGAAAACTGAATAACCTCTGCGCTCCTCGCGGCTTCTTTGGGAGGTCACTTTTCACCCCTTTCTTCTACCCTGACTGCTTGAGAGACCTTTTGTAACTCGACACAAAGGGAGTTATACGTAGGCCTTTCCACGATGCAGGCATGTATAACATCAATCATGGGTGCCACCTTAGCAGGCACCTCGACTCCTTCCCTTGCCGATCCCCTGGGAGCCCCCTATCGATGAACTCTCCGAGATGCCTGTCTCGCACCAGTTGTTAAAGGAAGAATTTGTACACCTTGCAATCCTCTGTTAAATGGCCCACATCTTTGTGATATGAACTGCGGAAGGCCGCATTCCTCATTGATGGATCTCCTATCATTCTTGGGGGCCACTTGAAGTAGGGTTTTTTTTAATCTTGGGAAGCATCTTGTAAATGGGCACCCCCTGGAAGGACAGGCGAGTTGGGGGTGGAATTGGTCCTCCCCTTCGGGCCGACTGTTCCTTCTCTTTCTTTCCTGGCGCCAAGACTCTGTTCTCGGATGCGGTGGATTCTTCCTCCACTCGGGCATATTTGTTGATCTGGGCCATCAAGTCTTTCATATCTACTGGAGCCTTCTTGGTCAGTGATTTGTATAAATCAGTGTCCCGGGACAGCCCCAGCCTAAATGACGCTGCGGCCAATGCCTCCAAACATGCCTCCACTCGTTAACATCTTCCCAGTATCGAATGACGTATTTTCGAAGGGAATCCCTTCCCTTCCGCCTAAACGTCAATAGAGCGCCGATGTCCTTCGGTTTCTTGCTACTAATGATGAATCGAGATGTGAAAAGTTTCGTCAATTGTCTCCAGGACTGGATGCTTTCAGGAGCTAGGTTCTCGTACCATTGTATGCCTGTGTCCCTCAGGTTCATGGAAAAAACTCGGCACAACACCCTTGGATCAGTATCGTAGATGGACATCAACTATTTGTATTGCCGCAAGTGGCCTCGAGATCGGTCCTTCCATCGTAGATTTTGAATCGTGGGACGGTAAAATTTTTTGGCATTTCAACCTCCCTGATAGCCCGAATGAACGGTGAAATGACTTCGTCGGCGTCAACCTCGGGCTCAAGGTTACGATAAGGGGCAAGGTGGACACTGGGAACCCCTTTGGGCCTTTCATCTCGAGACCCCCTAGATGTGGACTCTGCTTGTGATTCGGCGGCTCCAATGTCCCCAGGTATCCCTCGGTGGAGGTCCCACCGAGACAGACTTACTACTTTTGGCCCGATTCTAATTTCCCCTTGGGGACCGAGCACCCACTTTGAAGGTTGCGCTGCTCGGGTGAGTGCCTAAGTCAGTCCTTCCTAGAGGACCTATGCCAGGGATGCCTGGAGAGGTTTTGACTGGGGGCATGGTCCTCGTGCCCGCGACTCCGCCCGCCCGCGCTTGCTGACTGCACAAAATCATCGAGCCATCGTCGGACCTTGGCGTTTTCCTTTTCAAGTTGCTTAATGTGTTTGCTCATCCAATTCTCCACCATCTAAACAATATCACGAGCCATGAGGTCATGCCCCCCAAGGCCCTGATCCATGGGGAACGTTCGTTCTGAGGAATGTTCCCCCCACCTGACTGGCTCAATGGACCCGGTTCTGGAACCATCAAAAATCGGACGGGCTCTACGTTCCGTACACACACTTGCTTCTTCACCCTGAGATCGGGTGTTCACCATTAGACGATCGCTACCGAAAAATAAACTCTCGTTTCCCACAGACGGCGCCAAATTGCACGGGATAATTCCTGCAATAGTTCGAGATAGCGACCTCCAACCTGATGAACCTGAAACAACCACAGGGTCAGAAAAAGGGGGTCAGGTGAACACCCGACTTATCCCCTCCGAAGTTTAAGTCAGTATTAAGATTCGAGGTTCAAGCTCAATGAATCATCTTTTTCTGGTTCAATTTTGCGTACATTTGTTCATTTTTATGAGGAGTATTTATACCTGAATTAGCAATGATTGTCAAAGACCTCCAGTCCCATCTGGACATTTAATGTCTGACATGCCACTCCTCGTGCAATGAATGTTCTCCACTCATGTCTTCTTCTACTCAATGCTAGGATGATGGGACGAGTGCTCGGCACCATGCCGAGTATTTATGCCCTTCCCCGAGTATCTAAATCCCTCAGATCGGGATCTGACACTAGCAACTGAGCATTGAATACTCGGAGAAACAGTTCCTCGGGAAGAGTCGATTGTATATTTTTGGCGTATTAACCATTAATTCCTAGTCATCATGATAGTAGCCCTAGACTCCCAGAGTGCAGGTGCTCGCAAGTGCACATTTATTAGTCTTATCACCATCACTTATTCCGCCATAAATGAGAGGTCACATCGTATTAAAAACGATGTCAGTTGTCGTACTCGACTCCTCCAAGTCACCACACCTCGACTTACCTCTTCGCCGCCTTTTGAATATCACAACGGCTTCGTTATTCCACGTGTTAGTCTGAGGGCTATAGAGCCACCTAGAGTCCCGCCATAAATCATGAGTGAAAATTATCAAAATACCCTAAGATATAGACGAATAAGAAAGACAATGAGAGATTCCAACTACATGTTAGATGTGCCACCTCGCATAACTAACAATGAAAATCGTAATAGAAAGGATATCATGTAACGCTATAAATATCGAATGGTGCTTAAGTCAAAAGTACACACTACCCCCGATTTATGATAATTTACTCGTTTTAAAAGAGGAATAGTATTATCGGTGTTTGTTCTTCCTAGTCAAATTCCAACAATCACAAGGTAGAAAATATTTTTCAATAAAATAATATAGAATAAAATTAAACAATAAAACTTGTCACATGTCAATTTTTGATTGAATTAAAAATAAATAAATAGAGCATTTGATTTTCGATACCCAAGTCTAACCCAATCCACATCCATGGATCTATGTGAGAAGATCGTGGCCGTTCAATAATAATCGGGGATCCCTTGATGCCATCCTAACTGGAGTAGGAGTACGATCCAATATAGTCCAAGCTCCACTGAAATCTCTCTCTCCACCTATAAATTAAAGGCTCGGCGACGACGATGAGCTTGTGTAGAAAGTAGAAACACCACTAGAGAAGATCCTCACTGTCCTCACATTGCTGCGATCTCTAGGTACCTAACATGTCGACAGTGTTCAATCTCAATCTGATGTTGTATACTCTTATTTTTGATTCAATTGCACATTCTCATTACTGATTTTTTTTGTACATTATCTCTGATTTTGTTTTGAACTTTGTTTGATTTACTTTTTACTTTCTGTTTGTTTCCTCAGAAAATTGACGAGAATAGGAGAAGAAAAATATATTTGATGAACCAAATAGATGTATTACTTTCTGATTTTCTTTTACTTTCATGTTTTTTTTTCGGATATTAAATATAAAAAATAAAAATTGTATGTCAGTTTTCTCACATTTTCTCGGTAACCACACGGAATGTCGATTCCAATAAGGTGTTGGTTGTGATGTGTTTAGTGGGGAAATACAGTTCATTTTAGTCAACATTAATTTGAAATGTTGAAGAGAGTTAGAGGTTTTGCTTTTTTTTTTTGACGATTTTGAATTTTTGACTGTTAGGTCTGTTTATGTCTGAGATTCAATGTTGTTTTCAAACTGATTGCTGATTTCATTAAAATTGTTCAAAAAAAAAGTTAGCTCGGAAGATCCATTTTGACATGTTATTGTTGATTGATTCTGTGATGCTGAAAGCTGTTAGTCCTTATGCTGTTGTGTGTATGTGCACATGAAGTGGTATGACTCGATTGTCAGAAGGTTAGTCAATTGGAATGGAATAGAATGTGGCTACTTTTTGTGTTTTCATTTCACCTTTCGTACATATTTCTTGGGAGAAGCTTTAATATGAAATCAGCAAGATAGTTGAGTGAAATTGGTGTTTTTAACTTTTGCTTGAGCTAGGCTTCTACCTTGAATATGATTGTTGGAATCTATTACTTTAGAAAATGATGATTGGTGAATGATAATGGAGGCTCGATCGTGTCATCTATGAATGAGCTCCATTCACTTCCCATAATGTCCTTTCTTTATATCTTTTGGCTGTTGAGGTTTTGGAGCTAAGAAACATCTGTGACAATGATTCAAGTGGTGTTATAAATCCCAAACAGAACTTAGGACTACCAATGTGAATATATTTTTTTGCTTGTTTAAAGTTTTATGACTAAATGGGAAAGTCTAGGATTCTTAGTGGTCTGGCGTTATTTGCCCATTTCCCTGCCCTTTTGCTGTCTTTCTTGTTTCTTGTTGTCTACATATCAAATTATTCATTGCTTGTTTGTGCCCCTTTATATTTTGATGGTTACTTGTTTTTATTCCCTCTGATCTTTTAATGCTAAATTGCTGAAATTGTTATTTCTATGTTGGCTTGCTGCTCAAATCCAGGACTTTCCCTTGTACGTAAGTCCATTTGACGTGGACAGATGGACCAGGTAAAAGATATTTTGTCTTAACCTTTAGGCACTTCTCATTTATTTCACATTTCTGCTAACTCTTGTATCCTGATGTATGTGAAATTTCCAGTATGAAAAAGTTGAGAAGATTGGTGAAGGAACATATGGTGTGGTTTATAAGGCTCGTGACAAGGTGACCAATGAAACTATTGCTTTGAAGAAGATCCGGCTGGAGCAGGAAGATGAGGGAGTTCCAAGCACTGCTATTAGGGAAATTTCTCTCTTGAAAGAAATGCAACATGGAAATATTGTCAGGTATATCATTGTGGTTTGCTTTCCTACATAGGCTGACCCATGCAAGGGTGATGAAAGTGAAAAATTGGATGTGCTTATATCTTGTGCAATGCTATAAATATTCCCATCTCATCACCTGACTCTGTGCTAGTTACATGCCTTAACTAGCTAACGGAAGATCGCTCATTGAACCTTCTGTGAAAATCTCTCATTGACCACTCTCAAGACATACTACCCTTTTTCGCTACAATTAAATTCCTCTTTATACAGCCTATTTTGACAACTGTGTTAATTAGGCACATTATTACCCTTTCCTTTAAAGTGTGTGAGATTCTTTGCTCATGGGCTTTAATTTAGGTGAGCATTTGACAAGTAGGATGAATTATATGGTATTTATCTGTCCTCAATCATATACAAAAAGAACAAAAAATCTGTCCACAATCAGTGAAATCTTGGTTTGAGGTGAGTTAGTTCCTGTCCCTGGACCTTATAATGGAATATGGCCACGCAGCAGAATTAATTGACCACAAACATATTAGTTACTTGTAAAATGATTCTGAAATTAATTAACCACTAACATTTTGTCATCCTAAAACTTCCTGTTAGAAAATTTTCTTATTGGTGTGAAGAGAGCTTGTATCTCACATTGAAAGCCTGGGGCCACTCATGGTTGATTTATATGATTGAAGGATCAATCCTCCTTTCCATGGATGATCAGTAGCCAAATCTCATGCTTTTTTGAATCCTCCTGTATATTTTCGTATCTATTTTGGCTTGAGTTGTTAGGTCATGTGCTTTCTTGGGTCCCACAAGGTGTGAACAAAATCTTGTTTCCCGCAATGAAAGATTAGATGTGGTTAAGAGGTCTCTGTATCCTTTGCCAATTGGTTTTTTGGATGTCTCAAAAACTAGAAGAGCCACCACCATCACATTGTCGTTAGGCTGTTTCTGTTTATATAGTCCTTATTCTTTGCTACAAAGGAAACTACTATTTCTTACATCATTTAATTCTATTCTCAATAAGGTTCCTCAGTATCATTGATTGCACCTTAGATTCTTGAGCTATCATCTATTATCAGATGCAATATGTGGCACTAAGTTCTTACCTCATATATCTTTATTACTGGTCTTGCATATGCTATATCATTGAATATGTTCTGATTCTGTAATTTCAAATAAAATGTGCTGATTTGAATAATTATTATGGAGGTCATAGGGAGCTAGGTGATATTACACTCAGAATGCGCGTCATTTAGAATCTTTCATTCTTATCCCACTAAAGTCCTGATCTTCCTGGTGATGCAAGCATGGGTAGTCTTCATGTATTCTGAAGTTTTCTTTTCCAAATTAAGAAAGTGCCAACCACATTACATTATGCTATGCATGAATGAGAAGCGACTGTATTTTGGGTTCCCAATGTCTGTTAACTAACTTCGACTACTTTTGAGTGACAGGTTGCAAGATGTAGTGCACAGTGAAAAGCGATTGTATCTGGTCTTTGAATATCTGGACTTGGACCTGAAGAAACACATGGATTCGTGTCCAGAGTTCGCAAAGAATCCACATCTGATAAAAGTGAGTGAGCTTTTCTGTTGGAGGTTGGTGCGATCTGTGCTCCAAGATTTTGTATTCTTTAAAGAGGATTAGTTTTGGAAATTGAATTCACGACGTGGACTGTTTCTAATAGTGAAACAATTATAATCATTGAGCATTATATTCAGTTTGTGATTGGTTGCAATTATTTCATTAGCAAAATATTGTAGGATTGAACCCAGTGGAGTGAGAAGTTTGTATACTTGAAAAGCATTCATCTTTTCATATATCAGTGTGTTTTTTGATTAGGACAGTGGGAAAACTCTCCTTCATTTGGAAAGACTCCTTGGTGTCTAGTTTTCTTTACACTATATTGGATAAAAGGATTGATCTCTTGTCCCCCACTTCCCCCATCCAGCTCCAACTGGCAGCCTGTATCTGACATGTTATCATTACTTCCGATTTATTTTGTTTGGTTATTTTCTTTAATTTTGCAGATGTTTCTGTATCAAATACTTCGCGGTATTGCCTATTGTCATTCTCATAGAGTTCTGCATCGAGATCTGAAGCCTCAAAACTTGCTGATAGACCGTCGTACAAATGCACTGAAGCTTGCAGACTTTGGATTGGCCAGAGCATTTGGTATTCCTGTCCGGACATTCACGCATGAGGTAGTAATATACATGGAGTTTAGGCTTCAGAATATTCTATACTGTATTGTGCTCTGCGTGGTAAATGTGTCTGCCTAGTTATGCATGTGTGCTTTTTTTGCCCCCTTTCTGGTGTAATGGTGGTCTTGTCCTACTTATATTTCTACTTGTGGTCACTGAGGTAGCCAATAAATAGTGTAGGGATATGTGGCATTTTAGGAAAAATTGTATCTTTTTTTGGCATTCTGGGCTTCTTTCACGAAGTCGCAACCAAAATGTGAACAACTATAAATGATTGTAATGGCATTGTTATTTTTCTGTTCATAAGAACAAATCGCCAACAGAGTAGCTATAGATCCTCTATAGATCCTGTACTGCTTCATTACCAGTATCTCCACAAATCACATGAGCAATTCTGATGAAGGACCCTTACTAATATTACTATGGCTTGTATCTAAATATTGGTGTTTGTTTCCAAGGTGGTGACACTATGGTACAGGGCACCAGAAATACTACTTGGATCCCGCCACTACTCTACTCCTGTTGATGTTTGGTCAGTTGGTTGTATATTTGCTGAGATGGTAAACCAGAGACCACTGTTTCCTGGTGACTCCGAGATAGATGAATTATTCAAGATTTTCAGGTGTTGCATATTTCAATCAATTGCATTCTTCTTTTCGTTTCTGGAAGAATCCTTAGCAATGTGGGCCCCCAGTGGACTTTCTACAAACTTAGATCTCCTATATCTCTGTTTGTTATTGTCATGATCAATTATGCAATATTTCTTGAGCGAAATAGTAGACATCTGGGAGTACTTCATTGGGATGTGGCTTTAAAATGCAGGAAAAAAAATTACAGATTTTTTTTGACATTGTGTCTTGATCTTATTGTAGAATTGTCCCTTCTATGTCTAATTTTCACTTAACTGCAGTTTATTCCCTTATGTGCTTTGTATTTATTCTATGTATTTATATATGGTCTTCCCTTTATAAATGAAGAGAAATGGGAACTCCCAATGAGGATACATGGCCTGGAGTGACTTCGCTGCCTGATTTTAAATCTGCATTTCCGAAGTGGCCTCCTAAGGTGATTGGGTTTCGCATTTGGTGATATCTTACATCTTCTTATATGAAGTCCCTGGATTGAGAAATTGTATCCTCCATTTTGCAGGACCTGGCAACTGTGGTCCCAGATCTTGATTCAGCCGGGCTTGATCTCCTTAGTGTAAGTTATATTCGATAGTTTAACTAAACTCATTTTGGGAGACAACTTTGATGATGCCAAAGTCTGCATGTGCTAGAATAGTTGTCATGCATACATTCTAGTGGGTTATTTTCAGTGAACAAAGTGATTTTAACTCCCTTTTTGAGATGTGGCTAAAGAAACCCTTTCTGTTATATTTTTTTTTTGAGCTGAAAAGACACCCTGGACGGCACCATCTGCCTGGAAACTAGATCGATTATTAATTACTAAAAACTTATGTAACTCTCCATGAGGGGCAAGGTAGGTTTGTTAGTCCCGACAGCCTCTTTATATGACAAAAAATGTGCAGATGTCACACCCTTTCGATATACTAAGTATCAATCAATCAATAGAATGTGAACATAGTGATCAATAGTTGGAGTTTCTATTGCTAATATATACCAGCATATTTTATCATGTTCCAGAAAATGCTGTGCTTGGATCCCAGCAAGAGAATTACGGCAAGGAATGCTCTTGAGCATGAGTACTTTAAGGATATTGGGTCTGTACCTTAATTTCCTATCGCTCGTCCTTGTTGAAAGTGTATATTGGTATGTGGCATCTGTGAGGTTTTATTATGTGAGATATATGTGCTGTTTTTAGGGGTATTTTTTTTCTTTCTTTCTTTTGATTCCTTGGAGATAACCAAAATTTCAATTTAGTGTTTTCGGCAGAGCCATCGTAGGATTGCTTGTGTTGCTCCATCATCTCAAATTCCTTTCTCATGTTAAAGATAGCTATTGAGTCCTTTTTTTAAAAAATTTTACTTGTAACATTTCCATGAAGAACATATATTGGCTTGTATCCTCTTCTTGGAGGTGTTACTTTGGTGTGTATTTGGTTTTGCAATCAATTGTTTCTTCTCTTTCTTTGCCGATTTACTTTTTTGGAATCTTTGTAATACAAATTCATGGCTATTTTGGTGTTTCTCTTTATCTCCATGGGAAGGGTAACAAAATCAAAGCTGATACTAGGCATTTTGGTTGGTTGGTTGGTTCTAATTTTGGATTGAGAAATCTTGTTGCACAGAAAATTCCGCCCATGAGAGTGGCTTCAGCAAACTTCAGGGGTGTTTGCAAGTTTGTTTTGTAAGTTGCGGGATCCAAGGAGAATTAGATACTTATGTATATATATACTGTCTCCGCTAAGTTTGTTTCATGAGTGTGGAATACATATTTGGCAGCAAATCTTATACCCCGGGTTGTGGCTGCTGCCATAAACCACAGATACAGAACCAAACAATACATGCTTCATCTAGGGTGAAGCTGGAGATTCAAGAAGATTATATGTATTATTCTCAAAAATAAACAAGCTTGGAGAAACCAAAAAAAGGAAACTATGGAGAAGTGAAAGTCGCATTTATTAGTAGCATTAGGATGTAGATTCTAGAACATGTATGGGATGTAAAAACACATAGGATATCTACACACTCCCTTTGTTGGTACTTATTTACTATAGTTTCACGCCGTGTTTGTCTATGTCCTCGTCATCAGCTTTGAGATATTTGATTAAAACTCTGCACATTAGGCGGTTTGTCTTGCGAGCTGAAATAATATTTACAACAAATAAAACACGACATTGTCATTGTCACGTGGTATTAGTCATAAAGTAGGGAAAGGTGTTATCCATCACACCCGAGTGTGTGTATGTGGGTGGGTGTGTGAGAGAGACCTGGAAATAAGTTTCAAGCTTCCTCCTCAGAATAACAAGCTCTTGCTTCACTTGTTGGAATGTCCTGATGCATCTGCAGATTGTCCAAAAGGCAACTTTAAGGTAGACTTGTACATTTACGTATGAATATATCTCACATTTGTTTAGCTCTTTTCAATTTGGTGTTTATCCCTCCAATTTTATCCCACCTCCTTCAATGGGATAACTTGTCCACTTACAATAGTACCACTATGTATTTGAGCTTATCTTTCTTTTGGTTTAATTGTTATGAGTGTTCGAGTTAATTTATGCACATTTCGACTAATCTCTTCTTCAGTCTGGTCAATGACAAGACATTCACGCCAGACTCTAGGATTAGAGTATTCATGAGGAATAAATTATTCATAATCTAGTCTTAAGGGTTGTCAAAATCTGAATTCAAGATATTTAAGTTTACAGTTCGTCTTTCTTACTACTTGAGTTACTATTGGGTTGAATTTCGAACTTATTGCGGGCTCATGTACAAACCGACCATGGGATTTGAGAGCTATCGGACAAAAATTAGTAAAGTCCCACCCTTTTACTCCTGAAGCGAACACAGCCCAACTATGATCAATAGTGTGGATTAGTTACACCTTATTTAAGTGGGAACAAAATTGGTTAATGTTCCGATTATCGTTTATAGTGCAAATATCTAAGACTAATAAGGTACTGCTGCCCGAAAAATATCAAATTCGGGCCGTTAAATGAGAGTAAGAATGGCAGACAAATATAGATAGACGATAAAAAAAATTGTTATGTTGTTCATATCAAAATTTAATTCTCTCATCCTAAATGCATTTGCATCTCATGTAACATTTTGTGGATCCCAAAAAAATCAGTTGTTTTCATTTGATACGAGGTGAAAATGTATTTGAGGTTACCGATTTGAGTTTTGATTTGGGCAGCATAGTATTTCTCGATGATAAAAGATAGATGCTTACCCTTGAGCATTCGCTGCGTTGCAATATTCTTGGAACTGTGTGCATTCTTTCTTCACCTTTTTGGCACCAATGCTGAAAAGAATTACTTCACGTTAGTCCATTTAAACAACCCAGAAAGCGAACCAGATAGCCTCTACTGGTCCTTAATTTGTTAGACACATGGGGTGGGTTGGATCGTTAATCAACTTGTGAAGTATGACTTTCCTCCCTTACAATCCCTCCAGGTGGTGGACCAGAGCAGCGTTCGGGTTGAGTCCGTGTTGGGAAGGTGTTCCGGGTAGAGAGGGGTTGTCTATTACCATCCAAGTGCATGTTTCATTCTCTTGTTACTCGTGCATATTAAACTTTCAAAGACTTAATGATTTTCTCTTACTTGGTCATTTTGCAATATTCAAAAATAAGATAAAAAAATTATAAAATGATGGTATTTTGATTTTAAAAAAAAGGAACTCTAGGTACCTTGGAGATTAAAAAATAAAGTAAAATGTAGACAATGCAATTGAACTGATGTGAAAGCACTCAAAGATTGCAACTTGTGGTTGGAAGTGATGACAACTCAAGCTCCTTATAAGTTTCAAATATATGGAATTACTTATAAATCACGGCGTATCAGATTAATCAAGTATCTTTTACGAGACCTAAATTTAAAATCTAGATATAGTAGTAGTCATTGAGACCTTCTAATCTGACCAACCAACCGCTATGGAATGCATTTGTATTCTATTGAATCATAAGTTTTTTTTTTTTTTTTTTTTTTTGGGGGGGGGGGGGGAGGGGGAGGGGGTATTGAAGGATCAGCAAAAAAATAGTTCCAGATTTCCTGCGAAAATAATTTAGAAGTTGACTTCAAAGAGGAATGTGAGTGCTTTCACTCCAAGAACTGATTCTATGTTGTACAACATGAGTGCTATTCTTAAAAACGATATTATTTTGTATATAAAACGATGTCGTTTTGAGAAACAGTACCCTTGTTATATAGCAAATATCCAGACTCTTCGCTCCATCAGTTAGAGCCAAAAATGCATTAAATATTTATGCCAATCCAACCTGAGTTTTGAGTATAACATTTTACCTTGAGCTGCTGCCTTTGAACTGGTGCATAGAATCATCCAGCCTAGCAAAATCAGGAGGGCTATTCTCCCTATAAAGAACAATCTACATTACTGTTGCTGTAAGGCTAGCCAAATTGTGCTTAAAATTTTGACCTTTTTATTTCACTTTGTCCACCACAATTTATTTAAACACATTATATACTTAACTATTCAAATACAGGACGCTCAGCATAAATAGTTAAATTTTGGACTCAAAATAACCCACGTGACAGTTTAGGAAATAATTCTTTTTTTTTTTCCGTTTAACAATCATAGGTGTTCGGGTCAGTTTACGCACACTTCAAGTAATCCCCTTCATAGTCTGGTTAACAGCAAACCATCTACGCAAAGATTATGGTATTCATGAGGAATTTGGATAAATCCTTCATTTTCTGACCCTAAGAGGTTTCTAGGATTCGAATTCATGACGTATGAGTTTACAACTCGTTTATGTTACCTCTTGAGCTACCCCTTAGTGTTGTTTATGAAATAATTTGCATAGATTATTTCCCTCCCAAAAATTTAACAATCTATTCAAAGTATCATAAATTTCATTAGTTTGAGGTATAATGTGTTCAAATCAATAATTAACGGAATTATGTGAAATCAAAACCGTACTGGATGTGTAATCAACTCTTATGATACGATTATAAGGTACTCACAGTGCCAATTCTATGTTGCGGATCAATCTAGCCGAATCATTGTAAAACAATGTGACAATTTCCTCGACAAAGTTAGGGTTGGCATCATCTTGCAACTCCTCCAGCTGAATAAATTGTTCATCAAGATATCCCTAAAACACCACCCCATTACTTGGTTCAACTTCACATCACATTTTATATGTATACTTGTCCAAGTAAGTATAAGAGAAATGCAATGACAAGTGCTCATCTATCAGGTTGGTTCAAATCTGCGAATTAGCCTCACTAAAATAGGAGTGTGAATGATTGACAACAGCTTACGTCTTCTAAAACTCGTCACAGATGGGGTCTTGTGCACTAAATACGGAGTAGAAGAGAAATGTTGATTTTTCTTTTTCATGGTTGTTGATAATTTCGTCAAAAAAATTGTTCATTCATAAAAAATATATTGAAAGTGCATGTAGTGGTGTAAATATTTTGCAAAAGTACGTACACTTAACTTTCGTTAGACCTAACAATGACGATAACACGTGTAGTGAACATGCCTTTTATATAATAGTGTAAACACTCACTAGACTTTTGGGACAGTGAACCTCTTGCCAAGAAACCAAAGTTGCTTGCTAACTCTCGACCACTTGTTAAAAAGAAGTACAAACTTGATTGTCGGGGGAATCAACGGGAAAGGAAAAAGACGGTAAACTATTCTATTTTGTCGTTTGGTAAAGATTGAATTTAAGTGATAGGAGATGTGATTGAAATTCGTCCGTTTAAGAACGCTTTAGGTCCAAGAAAATATTTTGGGTGTTCAAACAAAGCCAGAAAATCAGAAGAGAAATGACCTGATCAAAAAGGTTCTTCCTCACAAAGGCAGCCTGGCGTTGCAAGTGAGTTGTGTCCATTTTGGGGAAAGTTGGAAGTAAACGTTGAGAAAATATTTCTCTCTCTACAATGGGTTGGCTACACTTCAGTTACCAAGCTCAAGAAATGTATGCTATTTATAGGAGAGAGATTGGTTGGGGAAAAAAATCTAGGGGTACGTGTCAAGAAGATATCATTTTTAAATAATTCTAAAGCTAGGGACCACATTCAAAAAGTCAAGAATCAACTCAGTTGGTGTGAACAATCCTGATCAGTTTTACGACTTGGGTTCAAAACTCCACCTTCCATCCCTTGATGTTATGAAAATTTTACTATTAAAAAAGTTAAAATAAAATTTTCCTTGGCGTTAATGATTAACTTGCATCAAAGAAATTAACGAACAAGAATCATCTCAAAACATAAACTTCACGTGTTCTTTAAATTTGTGATTATTACACGTAAAATTTAGACGTTTTTAACACATCAAAACAATTAAAATTTCTCCAATAAGATTCAAATAAAGAATCTTAAGGTGTTAACTTAAAAAGAATAATACTTTAAAGGGCTTTAATATTTTAATAGAAAACAAGAATTAGTCGGTCTACTTTGCAAGAATAGGAAGCAATTGCTGCTTCTTCCCTTTTTTTTTTTAATGGGTGATTTGAAAGTCGGTACATTTTTTTAGATTTATTTGAACAAAAATACAACACAAAATTTTATTTGAGTTAAATTGCATATTTTTTAAAAATGACAATATTGTCATTCAGTAAATAACTGATGGGTTGAAACCCTTTGTATCCCTTCTATATATTTTGGCTACAATCAAGCAATGTGAGATAAAATAGGAGTATATTTTCTCTAATTTTGTCTTTCTCTCTCCCTATTTTCTCTTACTCTATTTATATTAATATTACAACAACACAATTACACTAATCAGTTACATCAATCAATTACAATTGTCATATAAACAGTTATACTGTTACAGTTACTCATGCGTTCTAATAAACTAAACAGTTATACAAAATAATTACACAAAATTATGATACTAACCCAATTTGTCATTCATTTGTTTATATAAACTAAACGATTACACCATTTAGTATCGCGGTATCATTACACCATCATGTCTTAATAATTGTATGAGAATGTGATTGTTACATCTATTAAAACAATAGTTACACCCATTAAAAAAATAGATATACTCATTAAAAAACAGTTATACCTATTAAAAAAATATTTACACAAATTAAAAAATAGTTACACTCATTAAAAAAATAATTACACTCATTAAAAAATAGTTACACCTACTAAAAAAATCAAAGAAGCTCTTTTTTTACTACATCCTAACAACGAACAATACATAATATCTAACAAAATATCTTGGTCAATTCTCTTTTTTTTTTTTTGGGAAAATTTAGTATTTATTCACATATAATTTGTGGCATTCTAATCAAATCCCATTGTTATAGAATCTTGTTGCCGAAAAAGAAGGATTTTGATCATTAATGCCCCTATTTTACATCTCATTACAATTGTTAATTTTTACATATTTATTTTTTCAAATAACTGTTAATGATGAATGCATAATTTAAAGGATGGTGTTTAGGTAAAAAAAAATTTAATTCATTTGAATTTTGTATTTTAACACAAAAATTTTTATAAAAATTGTACTTAATAGAGTAAACAACTTATTCATATACTTTTGCTCAAATAAGTCTAAAAAATTGTACTCACACCCAAAAAACTTTTTTCAAAATTGATGAAGTTTAAACTTTAAAGGGGAATTGGATATCACCTAAAGACGACTATCTACTAGTTTTTTTTTCCTTAATGTATTCAAGCTTATATTGATTATTTTTTTTAGCTTAGTGATTGTCACCATAACTTAAACTAAGCTAGAGTATATCCTCGATGAACAAAGGTGATTGACCTTTAAGAGGAGTGAAAAGAGATTGAACCTGTGATTTTTGATTTATCAAGGTTATACTCGGGTATTGTATCACCTCTAAAGGTATACTAGTTTTGAATGAAACTACATTTTTTCTCATATGATTATTGGATTAAAATTAGGAAAAATGATACACAATCTAAATAAAATTTAAAAATTATTATTTAACTACATATTATTTCTTAATTGGAAATAATATATATTTAAATTATAGTTTTTAAATTCTATTCAAATTTGGTATGATATGTTTAAGGGTAAAAGGCACCAATAGTCCTTAAAGTTTTACACATATTGCACTTTTATCCCTAAACTTCTAATTTCATCAATTTTATCCTCAATATTTATACATTGACCCACTTTGGTCCTTACCCGTCCAAAAAACTAACGAAAAATGTCATGTGCCAAGCACACGAGGGTATTAAGGGACATTTTAGTCATTATACTCTCAAAACTTTGGACATTTTAGTCATTGCTCTCTCTCTTCTCCAACCCATCTATCTCTCTCTTTCTCCAGCCTACAACCAACCAATTTCTCTCTCTCCTTCTCCAACCAGCGACCAACCCATCTCTCTATCTTCTTCTCCAGCCGTTGACCACCCACCACCGCTGCAATCAAGCGCCACCACCCACCATCGTTGGAATCTAGCGCTACTATCCACCATCGTTGGAATCGAGATCCACCATCCACCACCGTTGAAATCAAGTGCCACCACCCACCACTGTTGGAATCAATCGCCACCATTGCAAAATCCATACGTCGGACACCACTTCCATCAACCCACCTGAGCAGGCTTCCCCCCCCCCCTAAGAGTTGTCTCTAGTTTACCCCTAACCACTGTCAATCACTCAACCCCTAAAAATCTCTTTGATTTTTATTTCATTTTTGGTTTTGAATTTGATTTTGAATTCAAACTTGATCTTGAAAGATTTGGGGCATGATTGCCCATGGAGGTCTTGAAAAATCCAGTTCTGAATCCATGTGGATGTATGTGACTGTGGGTTTGTGTTGTGAATATGTATTTGTGGATTTGTGTTGTGGATGTGTATTTGTGGTTTTTGCGTTGGGTTTGAGGATGGAGAGAACTCATAAGGATTTATGTGAGGAAGAGAGAAGAGAAAGGAAGAAGAAGGTGCGTGTTTGGATTCAAGAATAATTGTGTTTGGATGTATAAATACTTGTAAAATACCAAAAATATCCCTTAATACCCTCATGTTCTTGGCACATGACATTTTTCGTTAATTTTTTGGATGAAAGTTAGGGTAAGGACCAAAGTGAATCAATGTGTAAACAGTAAGGATGAAACTAACAAAATTAAAAATCTAAGGATGAAAGTGCAATACGTGTAAAACTTTAGGGACTATTGGTGCCTTTTACCCTTTTTTTAAATTCAGAGGGAGATGGAGGAGAGGTGCATTGAGGAGAGGTGAAATGCACTAAACAAGGAACATTTGACTACTTAAAGAATTTCGCTTCACAAAACAATTTCCATTGTTTGTCAACGCTTACGTGTTCCTTTAGCCCGTGGACACATGCCTGGCAGACAATTCCAAATGCAAGCTCGTGTACACGACATGATGGTCCTGTGACACGTCAAAAGAAACATTCCAGGCATCATCTTTAACCACCACCTTGACATAAGCTATTAGATTAGGGAGTCTCTTGTATGTGCAAGGCGGATACACTCTCTCATCTCTTTCTTCAAAGTGATGGATCGAACTTTGATCATGTCACGAAAACGTATTTAGTTGGCTCAGGACATCATCTTTAAACACCACATTGATATAAACTATTCGATGAGTAAGTCTTATTGAATTTATTAAATATTTTATAAGTACAGTTATGACCCATCACGTGGTAAAAATAAGATGGTGTGCCTATTATTTTTATCCACCATATTTGAACAACACCCTCCACTCTATTTATTTATTTGGATAAAATTGTAATATTCAATTTTTTTTTTTTGGGTAAAAATTATAGTTGATACCTGAACTTTGCATTCGATTTTAATTTGATCCATAAACTTTCAATTATCCCTAGAGTTCATTGTTAATCAACTGAAAATTAGTCCATTCTAATCCATTTTAACGTCAATCTAATAGTGAAAATAGATGGAATGATTTAATTGAGACAAAATTGATAGTTAAGAGACTAAATTAAAATAATTAAAAGTTCAATAACCAAATTAAAAATAAATAAATAAAGTTCAAATACCAACTTATATCAAAACTTGATACACACAAAGGCTAAGCAGGAGAAACCGTATCAGATAGAAGCCTTACAAAACAATTGCCAAACTATAAGCAGATGAATGCAGGTCAAGTTTGTCCCAAAAAAACCACCATAGCAAACATCTACAATTTTGCTGTAATCATGTTTCACAACCCATCGCCAAAGCAGCGCCGGCCCTAGGCATAGGTCATTAAGGTCGCTGCCTAAGACCCTAATTTAATACATATAGTTGGGGCCTCAGAAAAAATTTTAAATTGTTTAAAAAATATTTAGTTAAGGTAATTTTAGGTACAAAATACAAACTCAATTAAAAATCGATACAAAAATAACGAGTTTGTGTTTAGCCTTAATAGATGCAGGTAATAAATAAATGAACTTAATAGGTATTTCAAATAAACGGATCAATATAAACCCGATTAAGCACGACTTAAAAATAGTAAAATTTTGACTATTCAAATTTATAAATGGAACGGGTATAAATTGATCAATTTTGATACAACACAACTGAATGAATGTTTTTTTATTATCTTTGTTTTTCAGTCTTAACTATTTTTTTAATGTAAATACTGAAAAAATGAGTTATCTCAGGACACAATACCTTACTTTAAGTGAGATTTTTGTAATGTCCCATTTTTTTTGAAAACTCCAAACAACCTTAGAATAATTTCTTTAATTTTAAGACCACTTGAAGTCATATTCTAAATAATCCTAAAAAAGGTTTCTTATTTAAACCTTTTTCAAAGAACATTTTAGAATATTCAAGGAATATAAGAAAAAGAATAAAATAGTTCTTATACACATTAAAACGTATAAATGTATAACATTTTATAATATTATAGTTATTCATAGTAAGACGAAAAACCTATAAATACATGAAAATTTTCATTTGCAAGAACCAAAAGTCATGCAACCAAGCTTTGACGAAAATTCAAAGCATTTTTCGTCTGTTACTTAAAATTTTTTTTTCAACACACACAAAATAATTAAAAAAATAAAATGGATTGGAATAGCTTACTATTCAAAATCCTACTAACATTTATAATTTGAAAAATTATTTTACTATATTAAAAATTTTCAATTCTTTTTCTCTATATTTTTTTAACTAATAATAGACTTTATTATATTTAGTCAACAAATTCAACTTCAATTAATGGAATTCTATACAAAAAATTGAATGAAAAAATTAAATTTTTTTTTTTTTGCATCTCAAAAATAAGAAAAATATTTTTAATAAATAATATTAATATTTGAATAATTATTTTGCAGTACCTATATTATATTGTCATTGGGTCTCATTGCCTGGGGCCCAAATTTGAGTCCCTGTGAGTAAATAAACATATACTTGATTAAAAAATACACAAACCTTTACATTAGCAGACACTGGTCCCTGCCATGTCTTCATTCTCGGTTCTCAGCAATTTTTGCAAACTATGTACAGTGAAAGCAGCACAGAAACAAGATACACCCTTTATTCCTTTCTGATCCACCTTAGAGAGAAGAGGACAACAAAGGAAAGCCTTCACAATGCAATCGACCTCTCTCCCTATCTCTCTCCCCAATGATTTATGCAGATGCTCGGTCAGATACCTCCTTTTTGGAAAAGAAACAAAAGCTGTGATTGATTTTTTCACAGATGAATATTCTTCTTTCCAATCATTATCCCTATTCTGATAAGAAACCCACGGTGGACATGATATACCTTAGTAATGATCTTAGGTATACCTCCAAAGAAAAGTGAACTTCTAACAAAAAAATCCCCCAACTTTCAATTTCCAAGTTTTGGCATATGAGGAGAAAATAATCTATATAGTTTCTTTACGGAGATATAACTAATTATTTAGTGATAGAGCCGAATGCAAGATACATTTCACCACAAATTTGCATAGGATTTCCAGAATTATGCTAACTCTATACCACTTTGAATGCTTTATATAAGACATCAATTTAGCTGTGACTCACGACGAGCAGGGTATACCTAATTCCAAGCAACTAGTGACAATGATAGTACCATTTTGTTATTACAGCAGTCTCTTACTATGCTATGTAATGTACATATAGCGTCTTACTAGAGCAAAGGTGTGAATGTCTTGTACTATAGGCATAGCTAGTGAAAGAAATCATTGGTCCAGGTCAGGAAAATAAGGAGGAAATTGAAAAGAAGCTGCCCACATGTGGGATATATTCTTCACAAATCCTTCGGTAAAATGTTAGCTTTAATGTCATTTAGCATACTTCAAGCAATAAAATGCAAACAACGAATTCCATAAAATAGAGTTCGATTGTACTGAAACAAATCGGGACTCACCCAGCCAATCATCTGGTAGAGAAACTCGCATATGGAGCTGATCCACAGGGATCTTGAGGAACATAGAATGGATGCCTAAATTCTAATAAGTTCCAAGGCAAATAGAATTATGTTGAATCCAACAAACATGAAAAGGAAAACTTGATTATTGTTAGTTAGATTGAAAAAAATAGAATGAATTTTTAATCACCATAACAATTGCCACAAAGGTCCCACGCAAACACCTATCTGGAAAGGGATAGATAGATCAATAATGTAACCGCATCACAAAAGGTGAACCTTTCTGATAAGCTTCTTTTCTTTCCTGATCAAGAATATGCTCATCGGTCGATTGAGCTCATCTCTGCAAGAATCCCATTGCCTGGTAGACATTATTGAGCGTAACATCCGCTATATCTGCAGCTTTTCTGGCACCCTCTGCCAAAACTTTATCCAAATAAGCTGTATCAGATATGATTTCTTCATATCGAACCTGAAAAAGCAGAAAACCCAATTAATGATGTCGATATGTAAATTATAGCAGCAACATCAGGCAAAGATGGATGGATGACCAGACAAGCTGATAAACATGTGAAGTTTAAGGACATAGCAAACTGAACTAATTTAAAATCAAGTTATTTGATTCTCTCTTTAGCTTTTACCAATATAGAAATTCACTTCAATCGTTCTCAGGCTCCCTAAGCTTTAGTCCATTTAATCTTTTCTCCATCTGATAAAAGGCAACTTGGGCCTAGGGAAACTCACTACTTCCAATAACAATGAAATTGCCAGACATCACGACACATCAATAAAAAGAGAACAGCCCAGTGCATAAGGCTCCCGCCGCTGTGGGGCCTGGAGAGGGTCGGTGTAAGCAGGTAAAGTGGCACAACTCAACCTTTCGAGAGAGGAAAAAAGCACAGGTAGTACAACAAAATATCCCTGCACAATAAAACCATTGCAGGGGGTGTCATGTATAGAAGTAGAAACCTGGATTGGATGTAGATGATCAATTAAAGCATCAGTAAGAAGGGGTTTGAACACTCCCCAATTCATATCTTGGCATTCTTGTGCAACTTCCTGCAACAAAAATTGTTCAAAAGAAACTTTCAACTTTGAAGTTTAGCAAACATACATGCTTATAACTAACAGATGAATGATCAAGTTCTCATCAATCCACATCCAAACAAAACAACTATAACTATCATTTTGACAAAATTATGCATTTTCAATTGGGTGTATATCGCTTAAATTCTGGTTCAGCTGATAGTGTTATCCATCCCACTTTTTTCAGCCTGAATGGCCTGGAATGTATCATTTTGCAAAAACCAAGAAGAATAAAAAATAAAAGAACATAATAGCTGCTATTTCATTTCACTAAGATTTTCAAGTTGATTAGAGTCGTTGCGTACAGTATCGGGTACTTCAGACAGTAGCTTGATTCGTGCAATATGTTGCAGCCGAGAGTCAGGTATATTCTGTAGATATAACCAAACTTTGGGATATTCTTTATTTGCAGTAAGCATAAATGTAAAGACGTTAGAAACCCACTAAATCTGCCATCTTGTGTGGTTGAATGCATGATAGCAAGCTCACTAATTCTCCTTCAGTTCTGACGACTGATCTGCTCTCCAAGATTTCACTTATTTTATTGCTACAAAGACACTGCAAGCTTTTCATGTTTTTCCTTGATTGAAATACTACCACATACCACTTGAATATTTGCCATCTTGTTAGCATTCATGTGTGCGCATATGTGGGCTGTGTGAATATACGTACACATGTACACATTGCATTATCTCTGCCTTAGAGCACACCACGAATCTTTTCCAACACATCCAATTCACTGACGTCATATACATTTGGTACAGTGGAGAACGCAAGAATGAAAACCTCATCCTCAATTATACCAAATTTTTTTGAAATGCCGGGGTCAAAAATGGCTCTTAAATTGAGTTCTGAATTGAAGAATGCTCCTTATTTATCCTGAAATTATGAAGTGAGTTGATATAAATTCCTAGAAATGGACAAAGGCCCAGTTTGGATGGCAAAACTCGAGTTCTAATGGGCATCTCATCGCTATTCCATCTCATTCCTATGCTTGATACGCACTACTACTGGGAACTTATACTGGTAAGTACTACTGGGAATTTTCATTCCTTCAGTAATGAGAATCCCATAGAAAGTGGGCATTTCATTCCCACCTGGGGTCGTAATTTCCAATTCCCGACATTGGAAATACCATAAAAGATTGTTTCCTGAAAAAAAATTCATACAGTAACAAATGCATGAATGAACTGACAGCTACAATTGTATTTCGAGAAATGTTATCCCTACTAAAGGAATTTCATTCACGGTCTCTTATTTCTGTCATCCAGACTAGGTCATAGGAAAAAGCTCTAACTCAGAAACTCCAGCTTCTGAAATAGGCTCTTTGGTGATGATCTTGTCTGTCCTTTCACATTATACATGGAGATAACTTCAGGCTATATATTAGAACTTTTATCACAGAGAGAGTGAAAAATGAAAAATATAAAACTAAAATAAAATGTACTGCAGCTCTTGTTGCTTAGTGCATAGGTAACATGCTCAAGCAAACAACAGCAAGTTGTGGGTTAGAATCTGAAGGCAGCTATTGTTTGCAAAGAATATCAAAGGTAAGGTTTGCACCCAATATACCACTACCAGCATTTCAATTAACATTGACAACATTGGATGATAACCATTTTCAGGTCTTGCTGCGCATTAAAGGTCTACATAGGAGGCTCCTAACACATTTTGAAAGAATGAAACAGAAGGGAAGAAGAAAGAAACAGAAAAAAGAAAAGAACTAGAGCAAACTGATTCAATGTAAACAGATGTGTCAGTTAATTTCCACATTGGACAGGCACCCACACTCCCCCTTGAAGAAACCTTCACTTCACCTCAAAATGTTAACTTTCTGGCATGGTTAATGAAAACTAACACAACATCTGATTCCAAGCCTCACTGAGGGGAGAGGGAGAAGGTGCCTCCCCTCAGTTAAACCAAATTGTAAATCTTGTAAGCCCCAGATTCACTACTGCAGCAAACAATAGTCCCTTGGGAACAACTAAAAAATTAATGAACTCTTCGACAATTGGCTTTTTATTTCTTGTAACACTACATTACCACCGTCGTAAGATTCCAACAATTAAAAATTAGATAAATTCAAATGCTTACAACACATGCATCTGTCGCTAAAGAGCTAAAGCACGGTTGCTATCAATGATCTAAAAATTTTGCACCAGATTACCTCTTTTGTCTTCCTTGTAATGAGCTGATATACTGAAAGAAGGTTGCTGCATTCAGGTCTGTCAGGATTGTCAAATTCGAGGCTGCATGATTTACCATTAGAGGGAAAAGACTGAGAAAAGCCTATCATATCTTGTGGGGAGAAATTTATTGCTAAGGAAAGAATGAACACGCACAACAATGATAATTTACTCAATGGTAGAACTTCACAGCATAGTAACATCAAACAAGCAACACTTTGCAATGTCACAAACAGAACAGTGAGAACTACTAACCCTGGAAATGAATCAGTCTTGCATCGCTTTATCTTGTTTGCTATTACCTACAGAGCCAGAAAGCGCATTCAGATCAATTAAGAAGAGAAAATTATGGTACACAATAGACAGAAAACAGATTGAAGACTCATCAAATTTAGATCACTTGAGTTATGGCAAACTCAGATCTATCAAATTCATAACCCCAAAAGTACTATACTATAAATTATTTAACTGAAGTACTGAACCATAGAATGAAAATGTAAACAAAAAATGAAAACGGATTTATAGCGTAATTAACAGACACAATACACACAAGAACCAGATCATAGGCTATCCCCACTTACCATGACCTCCGCCTCAACTTCTTAGCATGTGTATGGTTCTATTGCCTCCAAGGCCTCTACAACCTCTGCACCAGGAAGTGACTCAGTTCAAATCGTGTGCAACCTCACTCCCCCATTAACCTATTGGAGATAAAATCTTCTCTGTGTCTAGTCTCTCTACTCAGTAGAATCCATTTGGTGCTTTTGCATCCCACTTATCAGCGCGGATAAGTTAGCTAACTCCTTTTAACTAAGTATTCAGTAATGATATCGTCACAACAGGACGCTCAGAAGGGGGAGTTGCCTCGGATTTTATTCCAAAAGTTAGGGAACTAATTACATGGGCATTCCAGAACATACGCAGTTGATAAAACCACTTGTATAAAGTAACCAGCTGAGGTTTGATGTGAGTGGATGGAAGGTTTATAGGACCAAAACTATTTGTTTGAAATCCTTCTGGTCATTGAATGCTAAGGAACTTAAAGGAGTCATGCTCTTTTTCATTTTGGCATAGTTCTAACTTCTAACTTATGTATTGCTTTTTGTTGTTTTTTCATGGGGTTGGAAATCTTGTCAACCTTATATTAAGTTCTTGTGATGTACTGTTTTATTGATTAGATTTCTTATCGAACTGCTTTGATTTATTTCTGAATTTTTTTAACACAAGAGGTTATGTTTCATTTCAAAAACAATTAATAGATTCTTTTGTTTCCAATCAAAAAAAAAAAAAGATAAATGTTATGTTATATGTTATTTCCAGACTAAGGGTAGTTTAGTACTTTGTGAATATATATAAAAGTTGAGTGTGGCTGTGTAACCTAACACACTCCTCTCTTCTCATAATCTTCTCTTTTCTTCTCGTTCCCTAACCCTAATGGCCTCATAATCTAACTTTAAATATGAAAGTTAAAGCAATAAGTCAATTAAGATCCTTGTTTTCCAATTAAACTGAGATTTCTATCATTGGCCTAACCAAAAAAAATGAGCATATTGTTGTCCCTTTATCACTCTACGCCGGTAAGTAATCCATGCATACAACAGAATCCAAGAGGATTCAAACTTTTACATTCCACTAAAAGTTTTCCAATGCTTCGCACAATTATGAAGACAGAGCGAATATTTAACCAACTTAGGCAAATTAAGGAAGTAAATGAGTCCACTCACATCCTTTGAATCAAGTAAATTGATTCGAGATTGATCAGAAGGTGCGGACTTGGACATCTACAAGAAAAATAAGTGCATCAGTTGACATTAAAAAAAACCTGCCACATCAATTATTGAGACACCCCTGTTTATAGAGAGTCCGACATAGGCCCAAATTGAAAGCTCAAACACAGGTAGAGAGTTAGTGTTGCTATTTGATTTTTAAGCAATCACAGCAAGAAAAAAATTTTCCTTATTTTAGAGGGGTCAATGCAACAATGTGGATAGAGTAGATGCAACTAATAATTTATGAATCCTGCGTTGCAACAGTGAGGAAAATTGAAATGACACAGAACAGATTACAAATAAATTTCTTCTTTTTTTTTTTTGATAGGAAACATGAAATTTTATTAATACTGGAAAAAATCATTAAAGAGTACATAAGAGGACAAGGTGTCCTCTTGATAAAACTTGCAGACAAAAAAGATACATAAAATAAAAGAAAAAGATTAAAAACAAATCTATAAATGTTGCATCAACTATCGACACACACTTGAGGCCAATGATCCTTGATAAAAAAGCAAGGTGTTCCTTCAAAATCTTTCATCGCAATAACCCAAAGAGAAGCCATGTAAGTGATTTTATCCCATAAATCTTCCCAAGTAGTTTCTCGCTCTTCAAAAATTTGTCCATTTGATGAGGATCGTGTAGGAATTGGATAGATATTATAGATTAATTATGATAGTTATTTAGATACTTTTAATATTTAGCTTTTAAGTAATTTCTTTTAACTTTTAAGGGTTTACTTGTCATTTTGATTATTTATTTATTTTAGGGTTTGTGAATTCCTTCTATATATAGGGGATACATATTTGTTAAGGGACTTTGATTATTGATTATTGATTATTGATATTAAATCTTCTTTCTAAAATTCTCTCTCTATTTTCATCCCTTCTTCTTCTTTTCTCATCTCTTTCTTCTTCTCTTCTCATCTCTAATTCTTCCCTATTACGATCTACATCAATTTGGTATCAGAGCCCAACTTCAATTCAAAAAAAAAAAAAATTTAAAAAAAAAACAAGGTTACTGGTGCATATTCATCCGTGTACTGTTCATCAAAAAAAATATTGTCCATCCAAAAACGTTGTTCATCAGTAAAAGATAAAAACAGGAGGAAACAAAAATTTTTTATCATATTTCGTCGCTGTAACAGTAGCCTGGTGGGTTAAGTTTTGAACCAAAGTGCCCAGCAGATTCAACAAATTATAGAAACATCTCCATAAGTCCCAAAAATTGCAGACACATCCCAAAAGAACTTCAAAAATTACAGAAACACCCCAAAAAATTCTAGAAGTTGTAGAACCACTACCAGAAAATTTCAAAAATTATAGAATCACCACTAAAAGTTTTAGAAATTACAAAATCTTCCCCCCAGAAGTTCCAAAATTACAAAAATATTCCCAACAGATCCATAAAATTGCAGAATCATTCCCAAAAAATTTCATAATTTTCTATTGATTATGGTATGCA